GCTTCCAGTTTCTTCAGTCCTCTCACATTGCATAATCAAATCAATGATTCATCAGAGAGATAAGGTAGTTGACTTGCTCATTTTTTGGTTTGTTATTTTTCTTCACATAAATGGTGCGATTTAGATGAATGTAACTGTCATTGCCTTATAATGTAGGCAGAATGAGGTGACCTTGGACATACCATGCTCCTTTCTACTTTAAATGTATTAATCCTCCAAAACTTCATGCTCTATAAACAAATAATATTAAGAAGTACTGCCCATTTCAAAAATCTTGATATGTGAATTTTCTCTTTTGAAAATGCTAACAGAAAATACTTTCTCATGTTAAAAATAGAGTCATATGCACAAAGCAAACCTATTTCTTTTACATATATATTTAAGTCAACTGGCATGAATTATATGTAATTGGTAAGGAAATTATCTAAACCACTATTTGGCATGCATATGCCAAACTTGCCCTTAATTTAGATTCAATTACTCATAGCGGATACACGCATAATTGAATGAAGGCACAGCAGTCCCTCTACACACTCTAGTAGATTATCCAATTAAGCAATATTCACCCAGCATTTAACTATACCTTCACTGTGAATGAAATTCATTTTCTTTCATAAAATGTAGGAAAGAAATAAGCAGAAGCAAATCAGCAGTCCCTTTGCATTGGAAATCCCTGCTTTTGTTTAATAATGTCCAGTTAATAATTACTTTACTTTCAAATTTCTCTCCTGTTTGCCTATCCAAACTTTCCTTCTGCCTGCCTTGACATCTTCTGTGCTCAACCCATCTATTTAGTCATTGTCCCCTCTAGTTTCATCACCAAGTTATATAGCAATGTCTCTTTATCCTTGGTGAATGGATCCATCAGGGATTGTTAGAAATACGTGTTTATGTACTGAAATACTCATTAATATACTTACAATTATTATGGTCTTTCAAAACTCTTTATCACCCACAACTCTTGCAGCAGAATACAGAAATGGGATGCCCATTTCCAAAACCAGTGTTGAAAGATGAATAAATAGTTATGGTGTAGTAGGAGATGGGAATGAGAGTGATTCTAATATTTTCAAGAGCCCTTTTTGTGTGTGAGAAAGTCCTCCATTAACAACTCGTGTGTGTGTGTGCATGTGCGTGCGTGTGTATGTGTGTGTGCGTGTGTATGTGTGCGCGCGTGTGTATGTGTGCGTGTGTGTATGTGTGCGTGCGTGTGTGTGTGTGTATGTGTCCGTGTGTGTATGTGTGTGTGTGTATGTGTGCGTGTGTGTGTGTGCGTGTGCGTGTATATGTGCGTGTGTGTGTATTAGCAGCAGTATAGCCTTCATTGTACCAGCAAAAGCAAACAGACCTGGCCTCAGGCAAGTCTTATTTTAATTCCTTCTACAATCCATTTCTGACAGCTTTGATCTAGCCCAAAGGAACATTCTACAAAACCCTTTACTCCTATCCTTCAAGATTAACTAATTCCCAAAATGACTCCCTTAAACTTATTTCAACCCATCCACTGAAAGACTCTTCTAAAATCCAGAATACAAATTAAGGAGCAAGGGATTTCAAAGAACAGAAAGAGATGAATAAGGACAAGATAGATAAATGAAATATTTGTGGGCCAATACTGTTTGCCTAGGACTAGACAGAGTTCTGCTGAAATACAACACAAACCTATGCCACAGAGGAAGCTCCGGTAGGTGTGCAGGAAAACATAAAAAGGAGGTCAGAGGGCGAGCAACTGGGTGTGGACTCAGATCTGACCAACTGACCAAGATTTTTTCCTTATGGAAATAAGAGACATCTCCAAAGGATACAAATTCTTTTCAAAAATATTATATCTACTTTTACATATTCCAACCATTCTAGTGTTAGTTTTAAGTAAATTCATTCTTAAAGAAAAAAATAAACACTAGACAGATCCCTTTTTGAACCTACTACAAAATCCTATGATATTCATTAAAACATCAAATTATTAGCTCATAACATTCTGGAAAGCACACTTTTGTGTGCCAACCACATTAGTATTTCATGAGTCTTATGCTGGGAAAATGGAGAAACTGAGTGTCTACAAAAAACAAAAACAAAACCAAATTGTGGCTGGCTCCATTGCTCCTGGTTCTCTGCTTATTCTGCCTTCCCATATCCAGATGCCTCTATTTCAGTGATGGCGAACCTATGACACGCATGTCAGAAGTGACATGTGAACTCATTTTTTTGGTTGATTTTTCTTTGTTAAATGGCATTTAAATATATAAAATAAATATCAAAAGTATAAGTCTTTGTTTTACTATGGTTGCAAATATCAAAAAATTTCTATATGTGACATGGCACCAGAGTTAAGTTAGGGTTTTTCAAAATGCTGACACGCCGAGCTCAAAAGGTTCACCATAACTGCTCTATTTCCTTCACTATTTTCTCTTCCTGTTCCTCTTTCTCTTTACCTGCCTTTCCTCAACTAGGACTTACATCTGCCTGTGGGATCTAGTCATGTCCTCAGGCTCATCAGAATGACTCCAGATTTTTTACGTTCCTCACTATTGACATTTAAGGCTGGATACTCCTTTTGTAGGGGACTGCCCCATGCATTGTAAGATGTTTAGCAGCATCTTTGGCTTCTACTCAACAGAATTCAGTAGCACCTCCTCCCCTAATAGTGACACACAAAATGTCCAAATTGCCAAACTGCCTGCATGAGGGGAAAAATCTCCCCTAGCTGAGAATCACTGGAACGGTTGAATTAGCTTCACTTCTTACCAACTTTAGGACTTAGGGTTAACAAGGGATATAACAAAGACCAAGAGGGAGCAGAGAAAAAAATAGCTCAAAAAGCATCTATATCAAACAGGGAGGCAGAGTCCAATTTCTCTATGAATTCTAGATTATCTGCCAACCTCAGGAGCACCTGTGAACACAATGCACTGTGCTTGCCTAAGTTATCGGTTACAGGTTACATGAGATGCCACTCAGATGGAGGGGCCTTTGTGTTTTGACCTTAGAGACGGCGTCAGCTGGAATTTTGAGCAGGCTATAAATATCCAACACACTCTTGCACAACCCATTATGCCTTGTTAGGTTAATACAAGGTGTCACTTCTGAGCCGTAGTGCTTTGTTGGTAATTCACTATGAATTTGGGAAAGGAAGAAACCACGATGCTCAAATGACTAGAAACCGCCACTGACAAGGTGCCGTGGGCTCTTAGACTCCTTTCTGAATGCTGGTTTTTTCTTGAGTTCTCTCTAGCCTTAGAAAATAGCCAGCTAAAATCCCACCTGCAAATTAGTGAGCTGAGAGGAATTTCTCAAGTTTTTAGACCTGCTGGCATTTATTTGTTCTATCACAGTTAGTTCTCCACACATATTTAGTGCCACCTCATACAAGAAAGTTTGTTTAAAAGCATGTAAGGCTTTTTGTGGTCCACATTTCTTACTGGTTTCTCCTACATCACCCTCTAACTCCCACTGAGACAGAGATTCTGATATGATGGGCTTCTGCATTAGGAAACGAAAGATTTAGTATTATATTGCCTGCCGGTGGGTTTTGTCACTTTCTACATAAAACTAATAGCACCTCTATTCCATGTATTGTATATGCATCCTCAGAAAAACAGACAAATCAATCTGCATCATCTCAGCCTCTCAAAAGCATTTGACACATTTCATTACTTCCTTCTTCTTTGAAATACGTTTCACTCTTTTCCTATCATAACACCACCTTTTCCTTAATTCCAGCTTTCCTGCTGCTCATCAGTTTCCATGACTCTTCTTTTTTTAAAAAAAAATATCTTTTGTATTTATTTATCTTTATCATTGAAAGTATTACATGTCTCCCTTTTTCCCTATTGACCCCTTCGTGACCATACCCCACCCCCCAGGCCTTCACCACACTACTGCCTGTGTCAGCCAGTCTCAGGGTAAATTCGGCTGCCTTGCTGAGGGTACAGGGTGTCCATTTGCAAGGGAAGGAAGCTTCCTAGAGGCTACAGGTATAAGATTGTAGAAAATGTTGTTTTGTTGTTTATGCAAAAGGATGCTAAACTGAAAGTTTTAGGTATAGCAAATAGACACCAAAACCTCCAGGGAGGTGCTAATCCGGATTTACAAGTTTAGACATATTTAAACCCCTCCTCCACGTGGATGTAGAAGGGCCTAGGAGAGGAGTTATTTGGAGGGAGTCACTGGCATGCTCTGACTCCCACACCCGCCTCCCAGCGGCAAGTTCATGGGCCCTCTCAGTTCAGGGTGACACTGTGCAATGGGATCTGAGTCCTGCCTGAGAAATCTAATGGGAAGAGGATGGCTGGACAGGCCTGTGCAGCACAGTAGAGGTGGGAAGGGGCTGGAGGAAACTGAGCACACAGAGACTGTTTAGGCGAAGAACATCTGAGTGTTCTGCTTGGACTGGACGCAGGTCATTAGGGAGAGGCCGGGTTCACTGGATCCTGTCCAAAAGGCCAGAATGGGCTGATCAGATTGCTTTTTAGAATGTTTGCCTGATGGTTGAGGGAGGCAGAGAATTCACTTGCCTGGGAGTAAAGGAGAATCGTACAGCCCTGGTTGCTAACATCTGTCATCTTGAACCAGGGAAGCATCTAGTCTAGAGGTGAGGTCCACAGAAAAGAAGAACAGAGCCAAACGACCAGCAGAAAAAGGACACATGAAACATGGCCAAATGGCACGTGAAATCCACCCTTGATCTGAACTCTTCGCTGATGTGAATCAATAGACTCCTGCCCTGTCAAGTTAGAGTTGAGTTTTCTAGCATTTGGCACTGAGAAACCCCTTCATTATATAGTCTTTTCTAAATGACCTGGGAGAAAAACCACAGCCCCAATTTGAGCTAGACTAAGAATGTCCAAAACCAAAAAAAGGCAAAGGAATCACAATGCCAACTTCACTAGGTTCTCAGCGTAAACCCTCTCTCTAGGGAAGATGTGGACTCTAATCCAAATGAGACATTCAACTTCTTTGGGCCAAAAGGCAAGAAGCAGGGAGAGTCAAGTATGTGTTACCTGGTAATGAACTCTGTGGGAGCCAGAAGAAACTGATTGCAGGTCCTAGTGAGAAAATGGAAAAAATATAGTTTGAATAAGCTGCTGCTACAACTCTACCCCCTGAACTCCCAATTTAATATTATTAAAGTCATCTGGAAAGTCTCTAACCCACCCAAACTCCTCAAGGTTAAACAAAGAAGACAATGCCAAAAATAATAAAAGCACGCCGAGCTGGGCTGAGAGAAGAAAGGCCATTCGGCTATAGAAACTTTTAAACAGTGTTTACAGGTGACTGATAAATTACAGTTCCAAGGAACAAGAAGACCAAAAGGAAAAGACAGCAACTTTGTTCTAATACGCGGGGTCATGTTTAATTTGCACCTGATCTTTTGGCTTGCGAAGAAAGCTTCTAAAAGTCCCCCTTGAAGCACTCAGAAAGAATTTATTTATCTTTGACCAAATACAAACTGTCCTGGTAATTGTGTTTATACTGATAAGTTGCTCGGCAAACACGGGTTTTCACAGACCGCAAAGAGAAAAATCGCCGGAGCTCCTCCGCATTAACATGGAGAGCAAAATTAACAGGGTTGAAATTAATGAGGTTTTACGGGCAGATTCTGAGAGCCTGGCTCCCTTTATAAAGTTTTATAACTAAGTTGTCGCCATCCTCATGTCCCGCAGGCTTCTTTGTTAATGAGTGTATTGCTTCTATTCACAAATGTCAGCAATCCTGGGTAACTTTGTTCTCATACCTGCTTCCCACTAGGATTCATCAACTTTCTCTCTGTGCCCAAGGTAGTTTTAAAATGTTGCCTCTATGAGTTCACTCCCCCCCCCCTTTTTTTTGAATCCCACTTCTTGTGGAATATTGGTGTAATGAACATGGCAATAAGTTGATCTTCAACAGTTATGTATTGTAGCTACTGTGAAATTTTGTTACTCGAGTGTTAAGGAAAAAAACATTTGGTAGCATTTATGATTAACTTTCGATTGCAGATTTATTGAATGTGGCTCCACAATAAAATACAAACATTATTTTGAAAAATGAGATGCAGTGTCCCTGAAATATTGATTTGGACCTGAGTCACATGCTAAAAAGTTCACAAATTTCAACATGTTAAAGTTATCCTTGATAAAAAAAAAAAAATAGCCCAGGAAGTAACAAGTATAAAATTTGTTGACTTTTCTTCTCTCACCCTTATCAGTATTCAAAATTTAGCATTTATCCCAAAATATTTTGCACTCACAATTTCTCTATCCTTAACAATGCTGAAGAGAAAAATTAGTAATTTTTCACATTACTTTATGCCTCCTACCTGAATTTATTTCAAGAGAAATAAAATCCAATGTTTAAAGCTAAGTGGCTACAACTCGATAGAATTTTAAACACTGTATATCTTCTTTATTTGTGACATTTATGTGCGCATAATGTGTTGTCTGAAAGAGAGTTGCTAATTTGGGGGTACCTTTTAGAATCACCCGGTAGCTTTAAAAATATAAATGTCTAGACCACATCCAAAACAAGTGATTCTAATGTGCATCTTTAATAAAAAAACAATGATAAAGAAGTAGCTATTTATGATCTTTACCATTTGTAAAATAAAGGAAGTGACTACTCCCTCCCCTCAAAGCTTTATAAAAGTAACCCATGACCACTGCAGTGAGGGGGCTGGGTCTCCTGGCTTTGCTGGTGCAGTTTAAGTTCATGGGAAGGTCACACATGAGATCTCTTCCTCTCTCTTTCTCTATGGTAAGACCAGATTGAGAAAAAAATAGATCATTCTTTTGTGTTCTGACACAAGTTTCTATGAAATGTAGAAAGTTTTTCTTTCTTATACAATTTACATTTTTTTAAAAAAAATCTAACTGTCTCTGACAAAAGTCTGTGCTAGATACAAAACATTAAATAAGCCCAAACCTCTGTTTTCTTTCATTATTTATTAGTGCCCTTTGAAATTCTGCAGAGCTCAAAATTACAGGAATGTAGCCTGGCTACGGTTCCAAGCTACGGTGTGGGTCACAGGAGAACATCACCACGCTATAGTTAACCCAACTGATCCTTTGCCATTTCACCACCTGAGCAGGAAAACCTGTGGTGTGTGAATAAAAGAGAAGGCCGCCACATTTCCATTTCCTGCCCAAGTGCATCATTTCAGAAACAAATAAAGATGGCTGGGAATTGTTTACACAAATGAAACACTGAGCAAAATGTATACCTGACTATAGAAACTCACCTCCTGCAGGCGATCTATGTACATACGGCAAGTCTCCAAGTCACAGTCTCCACGCACAACTAGAATACCCAGAGGAATGGCTAAGGGGGGAAGGAAAGAGAAAAGTCTAGAATAAAATATTTGATTTTTCTAGATTGGCATACATGTGTTTCTGAGGGTTTAAAAAAATCTCAAAAATATAATTTTTCTTTTGGATAGTTCAATCCAAACTTCTCCCTATACCTCCTTTCTGACCCCAATCTCTCCATTTCTGCAGTTGTCACACTCTTTTCTTGAATTCCACCTTGTCCCCTGACACCTGGCCAGCCTTCATTTCACTTCTTCTCATTGGCTCTGATATGAAGTGCAATGTCATGGAAACAGTGGATTGGCAGGACCAGGAAGCTGCTCACAGCCAGCGGATAACATACGCTTCCATTTGCAATAGCCAAAGTACCAGAGAGGAATGAAAACAAAATCATGATCCTGGACATTTACTTCTTTGTGTCCAGTATGGAGTTTAATATTGCTGTCTGTTTGCAATAGTTTGCAGCCTGAGAGACTCACCTACTCAAGGCACCATTACTACCTGGTGGCCAAAAGCATGCATAATGTTGAAAAAAAAAAAGAAAAAAGAGAGAGAAAAGAAAAAGCTTCTAGAAGGTTAACAGCTTAAAAATCCAACTGATCTTGCCCTGGCCAGTGTGCTCAGTGGTTAGAGTGTCAGCCTGCACACCGGAGGGTCTCAGGTTTAATTCTGATCAAGGGTACATACCTGGGTTGCAGGTTTGATCTCCGCCCCACATCTTTCTATCACATTGATCTCTCTCTTTCTTTCTCTCTCTCTCTCCCCCTCCCTTCCTCTCTTCACTATTTCTAAAAATCAATAGAAAAATAGCCTCACTCCTCAGGTGAGGATTAAAAAAAATCCAACTGATCTTAAAGACGGTCAGTTTAAATGTGGTAGCAGCAAACCTGCAGGAAACAATAAAGTGAAGCTACTAAGTGCCTTAAACACCCTATTTAGGCGGAGACAAATGTCATACCATGGCTTTATTGGACAGAACTTCCTACTTCAGAAATAACCATAAGATTCCTGAAATACTGAAAAATTATCTTCTTCGCAAAACTTCAAAAAACGCATGTGCTTATTTCTGATTTTAAAAGTACAATTACACTATTAAATCCATGATTTAATAAGAAAATCTCAAAATCTTGAACTAACCAGCTAAAGACCAGCAAGCGGATGATATGACAGTAGGACTCACTAAAGATTTTTTAAAACCTTTCACTCATTGAATTTATTTTTAAAGCCTAATCACCAATAAATGGATTTGAAAATGCTTTACAATTTAATAATATAGATAATAAAATACAATTAAAGTGCATGGAAAAATCTTGAGGAACTCACAGAGTAGTAGAGAAGGCATACATATAAATAAAAAATAACGATAATCTAACATAAGCTAAAGTAAATATGTGAACTTAGTCATTTGAAAAAACTGTAGAAGAGAGGGACTAATTCTTGCCTAAAGGTCAGATTTTAGGCTTTTTGAAGATATGAAGCCACATTAGGTTTTTCAGTTAGACGAGCAAGGGTGATCGAGGGAAAAAGAAAAGAGTCTATTTCTCAATGTTACCTCCCAGATTGGTTTCCACTAGAGAGATCAATACCCTCCCATTCCTGTATCTTCCCAAAGTCTTGCTGCATAAAGCTTGAAAGCAGCCGTCATCTTTACAGTGATGTGTAAGCCTGTGAATGAGTATGGGCTCTCCCACCAGAAATAAGGCTTGTTTACCTTTACTGCTCCAATGTCTGGTAGATGTTCAGTAAAAGCTTGTAAAAAGAGGAAGGAAGACAGGCTTAGGACCTGTTCAAGTGTGAAAGGGAAGTGTATCTTTAAGGGCCGAGAAAACTTTCCAGGACAGGCAAAGAAGCAAGGGTTTGGAGAAGGAGGAGAGAGTATGCATTGGGCTGGCGCTTGCCTTTGTCCAATCTTCTCAATACTAAGCAAGAGAGGCAGTAAGCAGAGGGCAGGAACCCTGCGACTGTCATATGTTTGAGATATAATAATCTGGAAAATACTTTTTCCCTCTTTTTAAATATAAACAGAAAAAGTCTTCAGTCGGATAATCATGCATCTTTGACAGAAATGGAAGGGAAGTACCATAAGGAGATACTTTAAAGAACTGATTAAAGTAATCATCTTCAGCTAGACTACTAAATAGATCCAAACAAGGTGATCCACTGAGGTAAGAGAAGAATAAGGATTTATAATAACTAGTCCATAAGGAATGATGAGGAAAAGCTACAATCTTGGCCTAAAATATAAGTCAAAGTGTGTGGCAGCAGAATACAGTAAAAATTAACATGAAAGCCCATGTTAAAATCTTGCTGAAGGATAACTTCTTTTAATTTCAAATGTGTAAATGTAAAGGAATAAAATTTAATCAATATTTAACTATTTACTTAAATTAGGAGACATTCTATAGGAACACTGGAATCCTGTCAACACCCCTGATTTCCTTCTATTATCAACCCTTGGGTTAGTCTGCTCATACATTCAATGTACTTGGTAGCAGATATTTTAAATTACAATTAGACAATGGATATTGCAGATATGGAATCAACAAGGAATAGCCAGGGAAAGTTTTCAAAGATGTGTCATTCACTTCTACTATGAGTATAAAATCAGCAACTTTGCCTGTTCCTCAAGAAGCTTATTAAGAGAAACCATGCTTTTTATTATTAGCTATTTACTGTCATTTTTAAAAAAAGGCCTCCTCTACCACAATGTCATTGCATGATTACTGACAATTGTTCAATTTATCCAGTGTGTGGTAGAAAGGACTTATAGCAATTCTCTCTGGGATTCAACTCCCAGCACTGATTTGGTCTTAGGAATTACCCACGGTAGCTATTTGGTCATGGAAGTTACTCAATTCCTCTGATCCTTGGATTGAAGACTATGGTCAGTAGGTATCTTCTAGGACTTTGTGACTATTAAATGCAACACTATAACTAAAGATGAATAACCAAAACATCGATTACTTCTTCACTCCCTTGACTCTCTTTCCAGCATCTTTAGCTAGAAAATGGATTCATCCAATCATCAATCTTTTAATTTGTCATAATACTATAAAGGTTAGCTGGTAATAGTTCTATAAGTTATATTCCTGCTTACTTAAAACTAACTTCTACTTTTCTGCAATAGGAAACATAATTGTAATGTAAAAATACTGTAATCTGACATTTCCATTGGGGGCTTTACATGGTTAAGAGAAAGCAAAAGTTGTAGGAAATTACCACCTTCCTTTTCTCTTTGGATCTTCCTTTTCCCTACCCAGTTGGATCAAATGTGCTTCCTAATTTCTAGTAACTGTATTCCTTGGCTGGTTGAGGACAAATTTCTTTCCCTTACTCTATACCCTACCTTTCTTATCCTCGCTTTCTTATTCACTTCTCTGTCCCTCCTATCAAACCATGCTCTCTGATGATTCTTGATTCTTGAGTATAAATGACTAATAATTGATTAAAGTGTTGATCCTCTAAGGAGCACTTGAGTTTTAACATGTCTGACATTTGAGCTAACATAATTGTCACAGGTGGAATTGTGTATGCCCCCAAAACTGATACGCTGAAGCCTTAACGTTCAAAGTGATGGCATTTGCAGATGCAGCCTTTGGGAGATAACTGGGGTTAGAGGAAGTCATGAGGGATGGGACCTGATAAGAAGAGATACCATAGAGTCTTCCCTTATGGGCACTCTCTCTCTCTCTCCCCTCCCGCTACCATTTGAGGACATAGCATGAAGGCTGCCATCTATAGGCAGGAAGAGAGCAATCACCAGAAACCAAGTCAGCCAGCACCTTGTCATGGACAGTCCAGCCTCCAGAACTGTGAGAAAATAAATGGTTTAAACCACACACGCTATGATATTTTGTTATGGTAGTAACCCTAGCGGACTAAGACAATGATAAAGCTTTGATAAATTTAGGTACAGAAATATGAAAGACATTATGCAATTAACTGGCAATCCTCGGCCCTGAGAAAATTATCCTACCAATTACATCTTCCCAGCCAAAGCATGAGCCTTGATCTGTCACCCCTCTCAGGCTTGACCCGACCTCAATTAACCCCCTTTCCCTATTTCAGTTTATATAAATGCTGCATAATTCAGACTGTGATTAAGTTAATTGGTTAAAAAATCCATTATATATTTTATATGTGCGTGCTCTGGATTTTATGTGTGGAATAAAATGCCAACAGGTCATACAAATTAATTTGGCCTTTTATACTTGAAGTTAGGACTACTTGGACTCATTATGCAAATTTATGCCAAACAGTGCATAAATTAACATCATTCATCTTCAACAAATCCAAAATCTTCTAGCAACCACTCCACAAGTATACTCTTATCTGTAAAAAACTTCCAAAGTACATGCACCAAAATAAAGTATGGTTTCTAAACTATAGATTTCCCCACAAATGATAAGCAGAGTCAGGGAAGAGACCAAGCTCAGGTATCCTACATATGGGTTTGAATTGCCCAAAACTTTAAAAACCAAAGTTTTAAAAAGCTATTAAATTGAAATTTCTTAGAGTTTTTTTTAAACATGATTTTATTGATTTTTAGAGAGAGAGGAAATGAAAGGGATAGAAGCATCGATGAGAATCATCAATGGCTGCCTCCTGCAAGCCCCCTACTGGGGATTGAGTCTGTAACCTGGGCATATGCCTTGACCGGGAATTCAACCAGCTACCTCTTGGTCCATGGGTTGACACTTCAACCACTGAGCCACACGGGTCGGGCTAGAATTTTTAAGAAAACCTGAACAATGTTTTACAAAGAGTTGGAGGTATGATGCAAAAGACAATCAAACAATTTCCTCAAGTGAATTAATTATTTGACTGAAGAAAAGCAAAAGACCCTCGTGGACCAACTCAGAGATGAAAGCCCTTCCCAGAGATCTCTGCAGCAGGTTCTACTCTGGGGCAACCATAAGGATGTGCCTGAATTGCATTGAGGCCAATGAGTTCACAATGGAAGGGACTCTGAGGTAAGTCAAAATACAAATGTTGTGACTTCCCAGGTACAGA